GTCGCCGGTCCATTCTGGGTTCTAGTGGCCTAATCTAACCACTAGAGTGTGCACATGCTCCGGTATTAGTTTTTGCCGGGAGATTGCGGTATTAGTTTGTGCCGACAAATTTCAGTTATCAGTTACGTGACTTATGTCGCGAGATCAGACCAGTATCAGATATCAGTTTCAGTTTCAGTTCAGTTATATTTGCTTAGTTCATGATATTGTTATTATTTACGATGTTTACATTAGTATGAGTTTCTGCGGAGCACAAGTGTTTTAGTGCTCACTCCGCCACGCATTTCATGTTTTTCAGGTCGCAGGGTCGGAGACGAGTAGTGAGCGGGCGGGCTGTTCAGGACATTTGTGATTATATGTATATATGTTTTTGCCACGCTTAGTTTCCGCTAAAACTTTCAGTACTTATATTCAGTTTTTGTTCCGACATTAGTCGGATAAGACAGTATAACCGTTTTTATTTATCAGTTTAAAATTTTAACGGTTTTCAGATAAAAATCAAGTTTTTCACGGTAGCATCCCGAATCAGTTTTCGCAAAATAAGTATTTTATTTATTTATTCAGAAAATTGTGAAAAAACGCGTACTCTGATAGTATTAAAAAGTCGGGATGTTACAATTGGTATCAGAGAACGTTTCTGCGTCTCTGAAAAGTTTTTCAGTCAGTAATTTTCAGAAAAACCTGAACCATCATGCTCACGCCTCGCCGACTCCAGGTAAGTGCTGATTCAGTTTTTTAGTTATAAACATATTACTTTGTCTATGCTCAGAAATCAGTAATCAGACTTAGTTAAGATGCTCGAATCAGATTCAGACTTTAGAGTTCAGGGATAACTCTAGAATTCAGTATATTCAGGCATGACTTTAGAGATCAGTACACTCAGGCATGACTCTAGACTTTAGTATCTTTCGATATGACTCTAGAGTTCTTCTGATTTCACGTCAGTATTTATCGGCCATTTTTGGCAACTCGTCAAGAGATTTGTGTGCTTTAGAAATCAGTCAGAATAGTTCCACGTGATCAATAATTTTGAACTTTCTCAATGTTCAGATGCCGCCACGTAGGGAACCCGATCATCCAGCTCCTACTCAGGCTACAGTGGTCGCCCAGTTCTGCGACTATCATGCCGAAAAGTTCTCAGGGCAGGGAGATCCTCGCATAATTGACGAGTGGATTCAGGGTCTGGAGTTTATCTTCGAGGTCATGGAGTGCCCTGAGAGATATCGCGTTATTTGCGCTCAGCTTCAGCTCACCGGTGATGCCAGGCTCTGGTGGAACGCTTACTGGAGCATGCGTCCCGGCGAGAAGGCGGGATGTACGTGGGAGATGCTCAAGGAGTTAATCCGCGAGAAGTACTATCCCACATACTACCGAGCAGAGATGGAGCGTCAGTTTCTATCGCTCCAGCAGGGTCCTCGTACTGTTGACGAGTACGAGAGGGAATTCACGAGACTTGCAGCTTTCGTTCCT